TGATCTGTTCAATCAACACAAAGCACTAACTGACAGCTTCAGGCGTATCAGTGTTATCAGTCAGAGCTTTGGATTCATTTTCAAACCAACTCACATTTACTTTTCATCTGCTGTATGAAATGCTGATTTAATAATAGGCTGTAACGCTTTTATTTTATAACCTGCAGCTTGTACTGTCCTACAACAATTTCACAATACCTGCATAAGTGCAATATGTTTATGACATTATTAAACAAAACTTCATTACCAAAAAAATTTTTTTTTTTTAACAGGGACCTGTGGCAAAAAAAAAGAAAAATTGTCTTGATGCCATAAATATCGCAACAGATTATGCTTTCACAAGTGGAGCAGTACTATTGCCATGGTGTTCCGCTTGATTTACGCATTTAAATAGCTTTATTATGATTCATGCAGGGAGTATTACAGATTATATGGACACTGCAATGTAAGTAGATCAGGAAAGGAAAAATAGGAGAAAAGATGAAAGAAAGATGAGATAAAAGGGAGATAATGAAAAAAAACTTCCGTCTGCATCATCACCTGCAAAGATATGTAAAAAGAACAGCACAACCAACGGATATAGAATAAGAGATACAATAAAGTAACACCTTGATACTATAGCTGAAGTATATGTAGTATTATTTAATCTGACATGTATACTGTGGTAGCTGAAGATAAGAATATAAGCTTTATGAATGTAAGAGAATCTGGAGCCACTTGGAGTGCACTTGTGTATGTAAAGTTATCCAAAGGAAAAATGCTCAATAGTGGTTGTGAAGAGCCGAAGAAGCGCCCCTACACATTATTGTTATTAAACAACACTTAATAATGGCCCTAACTATTGAATTAGTACTAACACTAAACCACAAGCTACAAACAGATGCCTAAACCTCTGCTGTAGGATGTCTTAACATCCCTGAAGCTAAGTATCTGCATTTCTGTCACCACCTACTTTCATCAAATTATAGTACATGTAAATCTGCATTTCTCTTCCCCAAAAACGCTTGCAAATTATGTTAGTGCAATTAAATTTTTTTGTGCTAACCATGCAGCTCTAAAGGGGTCTTCCATAGAACCGTCATGTGTTTGTTGTCTGTTTGCAGAACAGATTCAGTATATGCTATTTGTTTAACAGAGCAGTGGCACTGTAAAATTTCCAACTGATAACCATTAAAATATAAAGCATAAATAAAAAGTGGTCAGATAAAACAAGTACAGTATACACCAAGGGGACAGTAAACTATTTGATGTCTTCCGTGTTTTATTGGGCAGAGAAGCTATTCAAGGTTATTATTTTGTAAAATGTTGTTTTCTGTATAAAGCAGTTCATATATGCACCATAGTTTATATTTTATTTCAGTACGTTTGCAATATTAGCAGACGGTTGTGTGATAATGTTTCCCTATAGAACAGGGTGCTTTCTTAATATGTGCTATAAAGAACCTTTACATCATTCTAAGCCTCCAAGGAGGTTTAGATTAGTTTGAAAATGTATCTGTTTTATGGAAACAGTGATTGTATGATTTTAGAGCATCTTTATGTGGATCAAATTCAACTTGTCCTCATTGCTTAACAAAACAAGTAACACACTTATACAGTAACACAGCAGCTACAATAGGCTTATTACTTATTACTTTTAATTAAAACATACTGTTTTTTTTCCAAAGTTCTCCTTCCCCATTCTTTTACCACTGAGATTGTGATAAACTATCAATGATTTTTGTGAACTTAAAGATAAATATAGACAACGAAAAGCTTCACTTTGAGCATCTTATCTTATTTAGGACAGGGGGCACAGAGTATCCATTATTTTCAGCTGCAGTTTATTTTTATGTGCAAATAAAATAAATTGAAATGATTGAAAAACTAATAAGGGCCGGATTTATCAAGATCCAATTTTGCGTGCAGTAATTTGCGCTCGCAAACTGGAATTTTGCGCGAGGGGCTGAACCATGGTTTGCGGGTGATTTAACAAGAGTGATTGCGTAACTGGTGGCAGGTGCAAAACTGTTGGAGACGCCCTATTTAAATGATGGTTTTGCGCGTTTTGTGGTTTGCGGCAAAGTAGTTTGTAGTTTGTACAAACTAGTGCATTAAGAAATTAAAATCTTACAGTGACCCCCAACATATATATATATATATATATATATATATATATATATATATATATATATATATATATATATATATATATATATATATATATATATATATATATATATATATATATATAAAGAAAAAACTTTGGCAACCTTTATTCCCTAAGGTGGTATGTGGCTGAATTTCTACTTCACTGCAGTAAAAAAACAAACAAAAAAAACAGGTGTTTTGTATTGGCCTGTAGAAAAATGCACACACCAAATGGCTCACAAGACGTGACTGTGGATGAGATTACTGCGCTACGCATCCTCGCAGCATTGGCATGTTGCTCCACAGGCGCAGGGGGAGAACCCCGACCCCGTCGGACAGCACTTCTATAAAAACGAGATAGGGAGATCCCAGCTCTCGCTGCAACCGTACGCTGGAATGACCCATAAGCAAAAAAGTGCAATGTTGCAAGGAGTTTTGTGGTATCTGTTATTGCGTGGGTCCTCCTTGTGGCTGGAACCAAATCCATTCGGAGTTCCCCCAACAGCTCCAAAATGGCAATGCTGGATAAACGATATGTTTTGATGATTGTTTCCTCGTTCATTGCAAAAAATATTCACACGGAGTAAAAAAATGCGTTCTCTGCGTCTCCTTATTTCATTTTAATGTCTCCTTCTTGCGACAATAACCGCTGCCATGTGTGCGCAATTACGCATACAGACCATTTGCACCTTCTTTTGAAACGTGTTAAATATAGAGTCAGATACCGTTAGCAAAATTGCTTTCAGGTTTAATAAATCACTTTGCGAGTGCTAAATTAATATATTTACATGTTCTCCTCCCACAAGACGCACTTTTGCGTGTAAACGCCCCATATTGCATATTCATTGCAGAAAAAGTACTAAATGGATAAGAGGCGCTATTTAGCACGTTTTAAAGACCAAATCCTTTTAGCACGCTGTTGATAGATCAGTTTGTACATTTTTTAGCGTGCGCAGTGAAATAGCTCACGTTTTTATACACGCAAACCTTTGATAGATCCGGCCCTAAGAGACTGACACGCTGTTTAGATTTAAAAGTCCACATAAATTAAATCTTATTTTTTCATAACAAAAACGGACTTTGGCGCACTGATTTAAATTTCCAGTTTTGGATCAAATGATTGACAGCTGTGAAGGGTCCTGCCGAATGAGTAACAAGGAGTGAGTTTTTGTATTTTCTGTTTTTTTTTTTTTTTTTAGCACAGAGTATAACAAAAATGAACTATTGTCACATTGATGTGATTATTAATTTCTTTTCTTAAAGTGCCACATAAGCTCCCTCTTCAGCAATTGGTGCCCCAAGCAATGGTGGAGCTTTTTCATTGCCTTTCAAAAGCCTTTCAGTAACCTGGTGCTTTGGTTCCGCCTCAGAGGGGGGTATGAAAATTATTACCCAGCATTGTTAAATCCATTGGCAGGGGCTGAGAGGAAGGACGGGCTGTGTTCAGCAAGATATCCAGCCATGCTTTGAGCCACTTCAAATCTTTTTCTGTCGGGTCAGTTTATTAAAAATTGACCCGCTTTAAAATAAAAAAAGTAGGATAATAAAAAAACATCCAAAAATCTTAAAATGTGCTTTGCATTTTTCAGAACACTAGAGCTCTGTGCTATAAGGCTGCTGTTGCTGCTGGTTCAACCAGCCCAGAGTGAGTGGGGTTTGCTGCTGCTGTCAGTCAGTCATTTCGCATTTTTTAAATATTTTACAACAGGTAAATACTAGGATGTCCTTAAGCATAAAACTTCATCTCAAAACTTAATGTGTGGAGTCAGATCTTCAGGCTTATGAACGTAGTTTCAAATGTTTTTTTGCACATTTTGCAGAAATTGTCATAAATTGAAAATTTTCTTTTGCAATTTTCAGAGCAGAATTGCTCTGCAGACAGTCTGTTCGTACTGTTAGGCTAGCTAAGCTAAACAGGCAGTAGCTGCCTTCACTAAGCAAGGCACTCTGTAATTTCCTACTAACTTTTTTAGTAACTGAAAGTGAATATAAAGCACTTATTAGGTATGTGGTAAAAACTGACTTTAAGTTAATGTCAGTTTTGCTCTAAATATTTTGTGTCTGTCTTTCTTTACATAGAACATTTGAAACATTTGAATCTTAAAACAAAAGCAAGAACATAATTATTTATTTCTTTAAAGAGATGTAAGATAGTTAGGAAGTGACAGAAAAAATAGCTTAAAAAAGGAAAATTGAGAGATGAGGAAAGATGCAAAAAAGTGCTGGGAGATACACAGTTACCACAATCCCTCAGTATGTTCATGCTGTTTTTACCTCCCAGTCCAGTCCTTAGTAGGATAGGAGCAGGAGCTGTATTTTATATTTTCAAGCCTGGAGCAGGCTGTGTCATAAAGCCCTGCTGAGCACTGAGACATCCTTAGGAGAGAGAGTGAACCCCTGCGTTGCCCCCGATATGCTCATCAGTCTAGGACGAGTGCAGTATTACGTTTAAAGTTATAAGAATAACGAAACAGTAAGAGTGTGTAGGAGGGGGAGATGAAAGGCTGATATTTTTTTAGATATCCTGAAGGACATCAGGTCATGCATTTCTGACTATTTAAAAAAAAACAAAAAAAACATTTAGACTGCAGGAAAGTCCCCATAACAGATAGCAGTAGGTATGAAAGCAGGATTAAACTTATTCTAATTTCAGGCACTTATTCTTTAACTTTGCAACCATAAGTCTACTGAAGTATAAAATTGTTTATGTATTTTATTAGCATGGGCTTAACCCATGTGGAATATAAAGCTCCACATTTAGAAAGTTTCTCACTCTTTATTTTACTCAATCAGAAGTAAAATAAAAATACGAGTCTTCTCACTTTGGACTGTCAGAATACATCTCTGTGAAGCTGATCTCTATCCAGGGA